AGTTGGGGGAGTGGCTAGTGGTAGTGTTAGTGGCTAAGATCTTACCACCTGAAGTTCTTTTTAATACCCAATTATCAGGGGATGGCTCATGGGGATTTCAGTTGCTGTACCCAGTTCCAGTTTTTTTTTGTTTTTTGTTTTTTTTTTGGTCTTTTTGAGACAGGGTCTCCCTGTACTCACAGAGATCTGCCTGCCTCTGCCTCTGCCTCCCGAGTGCTGGGATTAAAGGCGTGTGCAACCATGTCTGGCCCCAGTTACAGTTTTTATTATCCAGAAGGAGAACATAAGAATTAAGATTCTTTTATCAGTTTTACTTTGAGAGGATTGTCTGTTCTTTTTATTGTTCATGTTTGAGGAATGTGGCCTGGATGAGCTCTCTTAACTTGAGAATGCATTCTTTAGCAAAAAAACTATAAGATTAGAAAGATTTTTTTAATGTCTGATACAATGCATCGGATATGGACCAGCCACTTGGGTTCAAGGTTAGGCACTTGATGTCTGTGGACTCAACTCCAATCACCAGGTTCCAGATCTGTCTGTTCAGTGGTCAGTGAGGGATGACTGGGCTCATGAGCCTCCTGCACTAGTCCATGTACCTGGCTCAGAGCATTTTGCAGAGCCTGCAATGACAGTAAAAGGCTGTAATTAGATATTTCTACCAGGTTTTCCTCCCCTAAGCGGGAAGTAGGGGTGGAGATTACCCAAACAAGATCTCAAAGGGAGTAATTCCTTTCACATAAGGAGTACATCTGGCTTTTTTTTAGGAGAAGCATTTCATTACAGCTTTAATATACTCAATAACAGTTTCCAGAGGTAAAAGGAAGAGTACTTATACTCTTCCTTACTTACCAGTTACCATCAATCTGTTATTAGCTTAGTCAAATTCTGGCTGTAAAATTTTTAGGTTCACTGTTGAATTAATACAGTTATACAATACTGAACTTAGTATAAGCCCTGTAAAGGGAAAGAGGAAGAGTACTTATATTCTTCCTTACCAGTTACCATCAGTCTCTGTTATTAGTCAAAGTTTCCTTAATAGTTCTATTCATCCTTTCTATCTGTTCTGAACTCTGGGGGTGATATACATAATGTAATTTCCAGTCTATCTGGAGGACAAATGCTAAGGTTTTAGATACACTGGCTATGAAAGCCATGCCATTGTCAGACTCCAGACCAATATGGATGCCAAATCGAGGTACAGTCTCATTTAGTAGATTCTAGGAGAGCAAGGATTTTTTTCCTTATTTTACTATTTTTGAAGAGGTAACCCAATTTGCCCATGGGGAATCGGGATGCAGACTGCTCTGGCTTCTTCCATGCTGAACAGAGACGTAGAGTGTGTCAATTGGGGTACCCCTACAGTGGGGCCTATTTAAAAGACTCAGATTGAGACATGAAGGAGAAGTAAAGGCAAGAATAGTTAGCATTACAAGTTCTAGACAGGGAACCAGAAAAAATCAGAACAGGGCAAACTTTAAACGCTTAAAGTCCATTGGAATTTTCTGATGAGGGCTTTCAAAAGCATCCATCTATTGTGTTCTTTTTCATTTTTCTTTGGGCTGCCAAGACTGGACACTAGAGTGATGAACTTAGGATTTGTTTTCAAGTACTCTGATAGCTGTTGGAGTGCCTAGAATCAGTAGATAGGAAGTAAAATAAACTTAGACATCATTTTAGAACAATAGCAGCTGTAGGTGGGCACTATAGTATAAGAGACCAAGATCTGAAGTCTTATACCTGAGCAGTATTTTCTTGTTAAGAACAAAATCATCACTGAGAAATAATTGTCTAAGTAACATTTTACCTGGACTTAAGTCTAATGTCTGGAAAATACAATCCTTTGGACTCTTGAAGAAATATACTTATTATTTTAAGTTTTGGTTATACTTTCCTTTTGGGTGTTTAAGACCATACAGTTGGCCCAAATAAACCACTTTACTTTTACTTTAAGGTTGGTTGAGGATCTGGTCCTCAGGGGTCACGTGGGCTTGGTGGGGCGCCTCTGGCTCCTTAGGCTTTCTTTTACCAGTTCCATCTACGTGAAGATAAGTCAAGAGGTCCTGCTCGACCGGGGCTTCGCTTGGAAGCATGGAGGAAATGTTTCCTCTGTGCTGACCCTCCTCTTTGCAGACTGGACACTGGTTTGAGTCCCTCTGATGGGGTCTCCATGACCTCCCTGAACAAGAGGACGGGTGACTCATCACAGTTACAGGACATATCAAGAGATTCCCATAGTCCCCTGGGACACTGTTGACCTTCCAGGGAAAGGAACAAAACTGTCCCTTAAGTCCCTTTGTCCAGATTAGTATGGGCTTCTAAGTATGGTTATTAACCATCTAAGAAGGTCAGTTGCACCAGCCTGGTACCTTTAATTACTGTGTAATGTATAGATAAAGTTTGAACAAAACCCAAATGTTCTCAATAAACATTGACTGGAAGAGATTTATCATCACAGGTTACCTCTAATTACTGTGTGATATATAGATAAGGCTTGAACAAATCCCAGATGTTCTCAGACATTCACGGTAAAGATTTACCATCACAGGTTAACTAGGCACAGCCCAGGAAAGGGACCTTAAACAAGAATTTAAGTCTATTTTAATGAAGGCTGTTCTAGTACAAACAAAAGCAGCCTCATTTTAGTTTTCTATATCCTGATTTACAGTTTTCGGAAGGAAGGGAGGCATTATATCACAGACCTATCAACAGGAAATAAACTGATCAGAATTCAGACCAAGGTTCACAGAAACTGTTTTCTTCTAGATTGCATACATCTGGTTCAAGGAGGTGGACCTAGCTTTTCTTGAGTCAAATCGTTCTTGTTATGGGTAAAAGAAAGTGCCAAAACTAACATTTGCATAATACAGAGAAACATAAAAGACATCTTTCAGTAGTCATTGTTATGCAGGTAAAGCTTGGGTGATATTCTAAAATAAACCTTTGCTAGACATCCTTAAACTAGTTGACTGAGTTATGACCTCAAGATTGTCTGTATATTATCCCTGTTCCATCATTGATAAGTCATAACAAACCTATACAGACCTTTATCATTTGCTTAGGCTTTTTTATTCATTCTATACATAAATCCCCCTTAATAACATCTTTAAACCTACACAGACCTTTATTACTTGCCTAGGCTTTCTCGTTTTTTTTCCTTTTGTTAATTCTGGAAATATCCAGCCATCATATTTTTCATTCATAAATCCTTCTTAGTAAAATATCTCCATTCCCATATCCTTCTAATATCTTTTAACTTTTTATTTTCTTTTTTAATAACCATGAGACATAATATCATCAACAAATAAACATTCCATCTGTTGTGAGAATTCCCCTCCGACTTCAAGCAATGTCTGTCCCCTTCTAAGGTTCCAGTGTCAACCCAATGCTTGACTAAAGCTCTCCTGGGGAACCAGTGAACTTACTGAGCTTACTTACAGAGATGACTGAGGAGTTCCTGAGGTATATAGGTGACCTGAGAGCCTTTCCTAGCCTTTCCCAGATAATATACTTTAGTCATTCTCAAACCCAGGAGACTGTATGTGATTAGGGCCAAATTACGTACAGTTGGCTGGGAAGAGTGGCTGGATACTCAGGTAAGGGTCCAATGACCCTGCTTATATCTCCTTTAATTAAAGAATACGATAGTCAACCAGTCCAATTGTGATGACCTTTTGTAAGTCATGTAAACACAAGGTAAAGAGAAGCAATTGGTACACAACCCCCAGCATAGTCATTTAAGGAAAACTGTTATAACCCTGTTTAGACTTTAATAAATTCTTTTAATAACATTTATAAAGAAATTTACCAAGTAATTAATATTTTACCTCATATATATGAACAATTATTCTAAATATATTATTATACTGTATAAACTTTGAGATGCCCTTGTAAGCCTTGAAGCAGGTTTTAAACAATCAAGTCTCCTTTAAAGGTTAAGAGATGTTTTACATAGAATTTGATATCTAGTAAATTATTTAATAATAGTCTCAGTATTAAACATAAGTCTATACATTTATAATGGTCTCATATAATAAATACTATGGTTAGACATAATGTCATGACAAACCAGTTTTAAAACCAAGACTGATTTTTCTTGTTCCAAGGGAGAAAAGCACAGAGTCATATCCAAGCCAGCAGTTTCCAAGGACGAAAAGCGTCTCTCCTGAAACAGACCGTATCTGCCTGCATACCGAGCAGTGCTGCAGGAAACAGAGGGAAAAGGACAAGGCCAAAAGGATGAGATAGGAAGACCAGTCCCAGAATTTATTTCCAGCAATAAAGATGAGTTAACATATTAGATCAAATCTATAACCAACAGGAGTTTAATTTTCTCAAATCATTTTCAAGCCTTTAGAGGTCTGAAAGCATCACAAACCAGGCCAAGAATGTCAAAACCAAAATACTTCCAAAGTGAGCAAACCAAAGAGATATTTTAAAACAAACATTATGAAAGCAAACCCAACCCAAAAGGTATGCAACAAATAAGGTCCTTAAAAAACAAGTTCTACCATTAAAGATATTTAGGGTTTTTGATGAAAACATATGAAGACAATAATCACAGACATACATGACAGAATTACTTGAGATCTCAGCACAGGAGACATAACATGACATAATTGAATTAAAACTAGGTGCATCCAAAACATGACCTGAAGTCAGATAAGTTGTTCAACATACACTCTAACGGGGTAGCACCCTGAGACACACTCCCACCCCTGACGAACACAGATACAAGACCAAAACACAGAACAAGACAAGCACAGACAAATAACATCAACCAGATTGCTGTCAAATCCAGGTCCCGAAAGACAAGCTTTTGGGCTCATGGCCAGGCGGGTCCGGGGACGTCTCCTCCGGAACCCGACTAGGGGAGGTTTGCTGCATACAGCTTCCCACCTAGTAAGTCTGATCAGAGCCCAGAACCAGATGGTGAAAGTCGCTGGCTAGCCAAAATCAAAAGAGAAACTAAAACAAAAGCATTTTCTCAAGCTCTCTCTTACCTTGTTGGTGGTATGGTGGGAGAAACTGGAGGGCTGACTGGGGAAGCAGAAGCAGCTGGGATAGATGCAAGTCCCCTCTCAGGGAGTTTGCTGATACTGCCCGGCAGCTGAGGCTGATGCAGGTCCCCTCCCAGGGAGTCCTCAGAATACTGCTGGGCAGGTCCCTTCTCAGGGAGTTTCCTGAAACTGCTGGGCCCAGAAGTCCTCTGGATCTCTGTGGAACCTCCAAATGTTATAGGTCAGAGTTTGCAAAAATATCACCAGCACCACTTTAAGAAAAGTAGCAAGGTAAATTTTATTTTTTGACTGGCCAGGCTGTCTATCTCAGGAGTAGAAGCAACCCTGATCATTTTTGGGTCAGAGTGTTTATAGGATTACAGAAATATTATTCGAACAAGACACCTGTGAATCGATCAGGTTTGTACAACATAGCAGAACTTTGAATCTATTAATCAACAACCAATCATTATACAGACAAGTGATACAGTCATATAACTTGGTAATCAACTTTGTAATTTTAAAATTAGTTTCCTAGCCATAACAAATATAGTAAGAAAGCTGAAATCAACAGTTACCGGGTGGTCATATAATAACAGGGTGGTCTTATACTTTGTATCAAGGGGACCTAAAATAGCAAGCGAATTACAGAAGCAAAAACAAGCAGTTAGCCAGATGTAGAATGTCTGAGGTTAGCATGTTCCACTGGTTTGTGATTGAGCTATTTCTTAGAACTCAAGGCTGTTGTCTCTTTTTAAATATTTCCCATAGGTGAAAAGAGGTTACTGTTAAAATTGCTATTCTGAGCAAGATGGAGTAACTTAGGTTAAGTTGCTAATATAGTTCATTCTTCAGTAGCAGAGTTCCATGTTCAAACACATTACTATTTTTGGTAATGAAATATGTGAATGTGGATAAAGATAATACATATAATCGGGTTAGTTCTTGTCAGATTTCATCAATGAGTTTTCACCAAACATAGTATAGGTTTTCAGAGATCTGGGGATCTATCTATTCATTCATCCATCCACCCATCCATCTTGTTTATTTGAGACAGGATCTCACTAGATAGCTCTTTTTAGCCTGGAGTTTCCTCAGATTCACAGAGATCCACCTGCCTCTGCCTCCCAAGTGCTAGGTGTACAGGTGTGTACCACCACTACCTTTGAATTGTGGTTAAGGAATTACAGATCATGGCAGATCTTTGTAAGTACTTCTAGCTTGTGCTTCTGTGTGCTGCTGTCCACTTTGCCTTTAAAAACCTGGACTCCTCTGGGTCAGATGGAGTGGCTGACTTCTGGCATCATTCATCTTGTTTCCTGCAGGAAATCTGTACTTCTTCTACACACCAAAGTCAAAGAGGAAAGTAGAGGAAAATCCATCTTGGGTTTTCCTCTGGGTGTCTGTGTTAGATCCTGATTAGGTCTGTCTCTCAACTAGAGAAATATCATTCTTGGTCACCACATTTTCCAGTCACTGCCCTGGTCTCTTTCCTTAATCACTGCTCAGAGAACATGGCATTGTTCATTCCCTGGCACAAATGGATTCTTATATCAAGAAGAACATATCTGTTTTTCTTCTGGACATGCAAAAATCTCTTTAACTTGAACACTGTGAAGAGTAAATTTGTTTTCATCATAGAGATGTCAGATGGCTTCCTGTTTCTTCTTATTCCCCATCTTGTGGTCTTAGTTCCTATCCCTACTTTCCAGGGCTTTCTGGAAGCCTCTTTCTTATCACTGCATCTCTGCTGCCTGCTCACCTTGGATTGAGGTGAGACAAAGATAACACAGGCTATCTTCAAACCAATGGCAATCCTCCTGCCTCTGGCTCTTGAGAGCTGAGATTGCAGGCATGTGTCACTATGCCAAGTAACCTGCCTGATCTGCTACTTTTTATCCAATTATATCTGCTTTTAGATGTTATTTCCTACAGATTGAGTATCTGTGGGGTGTTGGCTTCGATGCTCAGCTGTCTGTCCCTGAAAATATGCTCATATATGCAGACACTTAAACTTCTAGCTTCATGGCTGTTGGGTTGCTGGGCAGCTGAGTGCTGGATGTCTGAGGTGGTACTGTTAGAAAAGAACATTTTTTATGCACATGGATGGTTTTGTTCTGAAATCTAGACTGTTAACCATGAAATCAGATAGCCGGGCGTGGTGGCATGCACCTTTAATCCCAGCACTTGGGAGGCAGAGGCAGGCGGATCTCTGTGAGTTCAAGGCCAACCTGATCTACATAGTGAGTTCCAGGACAGCTGGGGCTACAGGGAGATCCTGTCTCAAAAAGACCAAAAAGAAAAAAGAAAAAAATTCCTTCTTCTAAGATGCCATTAGTTCTTTCATGGTATGTTTATATGTTTATATTATGTAGATGTTTCATAGGAGACAGTTAAATTTATGAATCCTAACCTTAGCCCGACAGTTCCCATTAGGAATATTGTATATTTTAGAGCAATCCTATAGCTCAGTCTTTTGAAGGGTCTCTGCATGTTGGAGGAATGATCTGTAAGCCATTGTTTTCTGACTGGAGCTGAACAGTCCAGCCTGCACTGCAGCTGTCCCACCCAGCACTGTCGTTTCCTACCAGGGACTCTCCCTTTTAGGTTTTTTGGGTTGGCACGGAAACATTATTGCTCAAAAGAGCCACCCCATTCCTGAGTGTACTTTGACAGGTTTTTGTAAACAGACTCCTTCAGCTTTGTTAAAATTAATGGAAAAATCTAGACTATTCTGTTTATAGTTCACAGCTATTGAGCAATTGATGTTGGTTTGCCTTTCATCTCAAATATTCATTAGAGCTAAAACACCAAGAAACACATCCATGGGTACACTTTGTACACAGAATAGCACCTGCTGGAAGGTCTGGTGAATTTCCAGTTAACCCTCAACTCCGCATGGATAGATGTGGCACATCAAGTCGAATACCCCCTGGGAATGTTCGGGACTAGAAATGTTTCAGATTTCAGATTTTACTCAGTTTGGTGTACCTGCTGTTCCAGTTTGCTTCTCTGTTGCTGTGGTAGAACACTGATAACAAGCGACATGGGGAGGAAAGGGTGTATTTCAGTTTGCAGGTTACAATCCATCATCAAGGGGAGCCAAGGCAGGAACTCAAGCAGGAACCAGGAAACAGGAACTGAAGCAGAGACCATGGAGGAAGGTTGCTTAGGGGTTTGCTTCCCCCAGCTTGCTCACTCACCCTCTTTATACAGCCCGGGCCCACTTGCCCAGGCATGGCACTGCCCACAGTGAGCTGGGCCCTGCTGCATCAATTAGTAATTAAGAAAATGCCTTACAGACATGGCTGTAAGCTGATCCTATGGAGGAAATTCCTTGACTGACGTTCCTTAGTCCAGGTTCTCTAATTTGTGTTAAGTTGATAAAACCAGCATGACCGAATACACATAATAACATATCTCGTATGTGTTTGTGTGTGTGTGTGTGTACATGTTTGTGTGGGTATGTGCATATGTGTATGCATGTGTGTGTGTGTGTGTGTAGGCCAGAGACTGACACTGGGTGTCTTAATCATTCCCCACCTTACTTTTTTTTTTTTTTTTTTTTTGCTTTTTGAGACAGGGTCTCCCTATAGCCTTGGAGACCAGCCTGGCCTCAGTCTCACAGAGATCCCTCCGCCTCTGATTAAAGACATATACCACCATGCCTGGCTTCCACCTTACTTTTTAGAGACAGGTCTCTAGTTAAACATGACATTCATTAATTCAGCTAGGCTGGCTGGCTAGTCAGCTGCAGGGATCTGCCTGTCTCCACATTCTCCCTGACTCACCCCAGTGCTGGGGTTGCAGAGGCAGACACCTCTTTGCCAGGCTTTTTACATGGGTGCTCAGGACCTAAGCTCAGGACCTCATGCTTGTACGGCAGGCACTTTACCAACTGAGCCATCTCCCCAGACCCTTCACATGAGGATAAGACCCAAGTCTGAACACAGAATTCATTTGTTTAATATGTACTTTTTACATGTAACCAGAAGATAATTCTATATATCATAAATCATTCTGTGCCTGAGACAAAGTTTGACTAGCACAGCTGAAGGAGTTTGGAGAGTCCTTCTTTGGGGACACCAAATAAGTTGTGCTTTATGCTTGTCATTTCTGATTGTGTCCTGTCACATGAGGCCAGCTGTGAATTCTGTCCTTGTGTTGTCATGTAGACACTTGGGAAGTTTCAGATCTTAGAACATTTTGGATATTTGGAGCAGGGTCACTGAACCTTTTTTGAGTCTTTTTTCCCTAGGGCCTCACACAGTCCTCAGGCACAGGAAGAGACACACAGTTAATGTTAGGTGTGAACTGATGAGTGAATGGACATCTGGTCATCAGAGAAAGTGGCCAGACTTAAGTTATTTTACACATGAACATTTCTTGGGAAGTGTTTTGGCAGCTTGATATGTTTTAATGTTTTGAGAATTTCTATTGCTTTTCCTGCCCCCTTTCCCTTCATGTCTGCCAGAAACTGCCAAGGGTCTGCCTATCTGCACTGTTTGTTTGTTCTTACTCATAGGAAGGTGATATCATGTATGCATTTAAGTACCACATGGCGTTTGTCTTCAAGCTCACTAATGATGGATTTTGTTTTCTTTCTTCTCGGGGTTGTAGAGAATGGGCAGCTTTGTATTTATCAATGTGCGTGACCATTTCCTCCCTCCTACCCTACAGCCCTCTCTCTGTCGTAGACAAGAACTCAGTTGGTCCTATATAGTGACACCACCAGCCTTCTCTGGGCCAGACAATTCTGGAAGCCTTTGTGCTCTCATTTCCTTAAAGAAGTGGAAGGTAGGATGTTTGAAAGCAAGGCAGCTGGGGCTTGTTCCAAAGCATTGGCCTTGGCTATTTGTTTTTCTGCATTTTTGCAGAGGAGTTTTTGCCAGGAGACCTTTGCACCCCTGCTCATGCAAACCCCAAATTACAAAAATACGTAACAAAAATAAAACAGAAGCCAGGCTGAAGGTTATCTTCCCTAAACAGGACTCCTTCCTTCTTTAGATTGTACAAACAAACGCGGAGCCCAGTTAGGCTGCAATCAATCATTCCTGGAGAATTCAGAACGAGTTCTGCAGACCACATTGTCTGGTCCTCCAGGGCTCCGCTTTGTTTCCTTACCTTGTTTGCCCACCAAATGGAAAGTCTGCATGGAAGAAAAGGATAGTTTACGGATTTCTTTTTCCTTCTATGCGTTCAGCAAATGTGTGCTGAGAGATAATAAACAGTTTTCCACGGGTGGTCTCAGCCGTTCAACAGATTATTTTGGAATTGGAATTCTCAAAAAAATGAC